ATAATTTAATTGATAAAAACGAAAATTTGGAAAATTCTAAAGAAGAAAGAAAAACTCCTGAAAATACTTCTTCTAATTTACCTTCTTCTTCATTAACTACAGCTAGAAGACTTTCGAATACTTCTTCAGAAAATACTAAAAGAGAGAAAAAGAATTCTGCAATGAGTAAAGATTCGGGAATTGATTTTTGAAGAATTAAAGATGAGGGGGGAAATATTTTTTTTGAAATAAACATTTAGAAGAACCCTAGTATTAAGATTTGACAATGTCCAAATCGACAAAGAAAAGACAAAAATCACTAGAAAGTTCTGAGGATGAAGGCAATATAATAGAACAAAGAATAGATCGATTGGAAAAATTAGTAGAGCAATTAACAACAAAAATTTCTAATATTGTTACTCCCTTGACAACATCAAATAAAAAAAATAATACTAATGAAATTGTATTGACACGTATTGAAAAAATTGAAGAAAAAATATTAAAAATTGAAGAAATTTTAACACGTATTGACAATAATAACAACAACACAACTTCCCAACCATCATGGGGTTCGCCTATTTCTGCCCTAAGTCCTCCACCTGACCTTGTTATGAAACTAATATCTTCAGCAGCATCTAATGGGGATCTTCTCAAGCAAAAATCATGTAGAGCTGTTCTAGAAAAACTACCTGAATCTATGGATGAGAAGGAAGTGGTAGGAAAAATTATTGATTCTATTGGACTTACTAATGAATATTTGCCAGAACATACACACCGTCACCCACAAAACAAAAATATGTCTAGCGAAATAAACAAAAAACCAAAATTAATTAAAATTTCTTTTAAAAACTCTATTTCGCGTGACAAATTTTTGTATTCTTTTAGAAACACTTTGCGTAAAATACATTCCCTTCCCCAAAATCTTACTGTTCGAAGGGATATGATCCCGGCCGAATTAGCAATATTATATTCACAACGGTCTAAAGCATATTCACTTAATGCTTCATGCAAACTTTTTAAATATTATGTAGTTGACCTACAAATAAGGGAGTTACGCGAACCTAAACCTCTCAATACTAAATAGGATAAATTGAGTAAACCCCGAAAGTCAAAAAATTCTAACATTGATATAGATATAAAAAATTTAACATGCCTTTGCTTTAACAGCAGATCACTAAATAATAAAGTGCCTGATTTGCAACATTTTCTTGAAATACATAACCCTAGCATTTGTATGATTACCGAAAGCTGGCTTACTCAATCTAATTGTATAAAAACAGATTTTTCAATGGGTGATAAATATCAGTGTTACTTTGCAAATCGTCCAAATAAAAGGGGAGGTGGCTGTTGTCTTTTAATTTTATCAACTATACCTGTCAAACTTTTGTTCTGTGGGACAAAATTTGGTTGCGAAATTATTATTATTGAGATTCTAATTACCAAACCTACTATTGTTATTACTTTATATAGACCCCCATCACTTAATCAATCTAGTACTAATAAAATACTTAAATATATTGCTGACTTAAACCATAAAAACTTAATAATAGCTGGTGATTTTAATATTAACACAATAAACTGGTTAACAAACTCTTGTTCAAACGATAATACTACACAAATATTTATTGAATTTGTTAATCGCACCCAAATTAAACAACATGTTACATCACCTACTCGCGGCGATAATATCTTAGATCTTGTATTTTCGAGACCCCATGACTTAGTTAGAAATTTAGAGATCACTGAAAATTTTTCAACATCTGATCACAAATCCTTAAAGTTCAATCTTTCCTTATGCACTATGCGTATTCCAAAAAAGAAGATATATATAAGAAAAGTAACAGAAAAAGGTTTCTCCAAGTTAAACATAGAGCTAACACAACTTGATTTTATAAAATATATGTCTGACAAATATGCAATCAATGAAAAATATAATTCTTTTACTGAAATACTATATTTTTATTATGATAAATTCATACCACTTAGGACTATAAATACCATAATTAAAAACGAATATCCACAAAAAATCCGATCTCTGAATCAAGAAAAACTAAAATTACACAAAACCTTGAAGGAATCTCCTAATTCTAATCTAGCAACAAAATATAAAATTATCTCACGACAACTTAAAATTCAATTACAAAAATTTCATTATAATAAGGAGAACACCATTATATCAAAAGGTGCAAATGCAATTCACAAATTTATTAAAAAGAAACTTAAAACAAACGCATGTATTGACGCATTAATAGATAAAAAAGGAAATATACTTACAAAAGATCAGGAAAAATGTGAGTTACTTGCAGAAAGTTTTCAAAGTAACTTCACTGATAAAGAAACTCAAAGTCAAGAATTTATTGACGTCTACTCTCAAAATCCTAACTCTAATTCACAAAATCTTATCAAAGATATAAACTTTGATATTCTGCAAATTCTAGATTTACTTAAAAGACTTCCAAATAGAAATTCAACATCACCAGATCAAATACCCTATATATTATTAAAGAGATCGTGTGATCAAATCGCACAATATATTACAGAAATCTTTAGACTAATATTAGATAGTAAAAATATACCCGACATTTGGAAAACATCAATTATAGTACCTATACATAAAAAAGGAATAACAACAGATCCAGAAAATTATAGGCCAATTTCCCTAACTTGTACATTATGTAGAGTTTTTGAAAGAATCATAGCTAATAATATTATAGAATTTTTACATAATAAGGATTTTTTTGATAAAAATCAATTTGGTTTCCTCAAATCAAGATCTACTACTACACAACTTCTAACAATGTTAGAAGATTTTTACAATGCAGTAGGTAACAATCAGAATATAGATGTAATTTATATCGACTTAAAAAAAGCTTTTGACACAGTTCCAATAAATTTATTACTTACAAAAGTTAAAAATGCTGGTATATCTGGAAAAATTTTTGAATTCATAAAGCATTTTGTAACAGGACGATCCTACCGTGTAAAAATAAATGACTCGTTTTCAAGATCTTTTCATACATATTCAGGTGTTCCCCAGGGCAGTGTTTTGGGACCTATTTTATTCACAATCTTTATTAATGATTTCCCTGTCAACCTTCCAAAAGAAATAGGCTATAAAATATATGCAGATGATATAAAGCTTTATATTTCACATAATAATGATTCTAATATTAATTATCTTAATGAATCAATAACAATATTACAAAATTGGGTTATATCAAACTTTTTAGAAATATCAATTAAGAAATGTGTAATACTTTATATAGGAAAAGGAAACCTTAAACAGGAATATAAAATATTTAATCAAACATTAAACACATCAGATTGCGTACGAGACTTAGGTATCCTAATTGATAACAACTTAAAATTTAACAAACATATTGATAAAATAGTTAAAAATTCATACTTTATAACTTATCAAATACTAAGAATATTAAAAACTAGAGAATTTAAGACTTTAATAAATGTATATAAATCTTATATTCGTCCTCAACTTGAATATGCCACTGAAATTTGGAACCCAAACAGAATTCTTCAAATTAATAAAATAGAGCGAGTACAAAAATATTTTACAAGAAGAGCATTAAAAATCACAGGAATAACGCCACTACCTTATGAACAAAGACTTAACAAATTCAAACTAAAACAACTAAGCCATCGAAGAAAAGTAGCCGATCTTGTAATGGCGCACAAAATTATTTCAAAACAGACGCATCTAGACCCACAAAAATACTTTGATTTTGCAGTAAAAGCTAAAAGGAAAATATTTTGTTTAAGGAACAAAAAGTTTAACGGTAAAACTAGAAATAATTTTTTTAATAGAATCATAAATAACTGGAATAGCTTACCTAATGAAATTTTACAAACATATAATTCGCAAAAATTTAGAGTACTTGTTAATAACTTTATAAAATAGAGGTTTTAGTTCGCAACTCCCTTATCCTCCTAGATTGACATTTTTTTATAAATTTATTATGACATTTTCTTATAGTATTTTAAAAATTTATTTTTTATTTTACCACTATAATTGTACTTTTTTATGTACTTTGTGGTTTACTCAATAAATTAAATTAAATTAAAAAAAAAAAATAAATTTTTAAATTTTATTTAAATTAAATTAGGCTATTTTAATTTATAAACATTTATTTTTAATTTTTAAATATCTCAATTAGTTTTAGAAAAAAAAATTAATTTAATTATGACGTTTATTTTAAATTGTTTAACATTTTTATATTCTTTGGCCAAAAATTTTTTGCAAGTTGGAAAATAAAAAAAATTTTTGCGCAATCTTCCGTCTGCTATATTTTTAATTTATTGTGTTTTAATTTCTTGTTTTTCTTGAGGTTTTTACTCTAGATATTTTAAAAGGAAATAGATGATTAGGAATGAGATAATACATCGATATTCTTGTAGCCTTCCATACATCCGACATTCTATAGGATGTATGGAAGGCTACCCCCGACCCTTGGCGCTGCATCCCCGAAAATTGTTCCCCGTGGCCCCCTCCCCCACCCGTCGGGGACCAACCCTAATATTCTACTTCTCCACCTTCCATCATTTCTAGTATATAATCTGGGTTTTAAATAATCTTTTTTTATTTTTTAAAAATATTCTTTGAACTTGAGGTCTTTAATTAATTAAATAAAAATTTTTTTAAATAAATATTTAATTTTTGCTATCATACATACATTAATTTTTACAATAAAATCATAAACAGTTTTTACGAAAGAAATATTTTTTTAAATTTTTATTTTGTTACAGTTGCGCATACTTTATAATAAATAAAAATTTATAGAACACCTTCCATCTTAACTTTTCCCTCTCAATATTTTTTGACTAATTTCCGTATTTTTAATGTTCCTCTTATACGTTCATTTCATTTATTTCTTGTCTCGATAATATTTTTCTAATTAGATTTTTAAAAATATTATAGTAACTATTTAATTCAAAATAAATTGAAATTTGTTATTAATCCCTATTGAAATATTTCAAAATTTAATAAGCTAAATTAATTATACTAGATGATTTCAACAACCTCTTTCTTCTTACTTTTTCTATCTCTTTTGTTCCTTTTCGATTTTTCAACTTCCAATTGTATTGAATATTGTTTTGTTCCCCCTCAACAATATAGTGGTTGCAATATTTGTGGAGGATATGGATATGGGAGCGGATATGGATTTACAGGAGGATATGGGGGTTATGTACCTCAACAGACACAGCAATTATACGTGCCACAACAGCAACAGTATGTACCTCAACAAGTTGTCGTGCAACCAGCCGGTGGTGGAGTAGGAGGGAGTGGATATCCGTCTGGACAAGGATATATTCCACAAAGCGGGTAAATTTAAAAGAAAAACATCTCTAGAAAATTCCTAAAAAATTTTTAGAGGAGTAATTCCTCAGACTACCGGTGGACAATCTTATGTAGGGACGACTGGAAATGGAGGCGGTAATGTTGGAGGAGGAACAAGTGGTTGTGGATCAGGTGGATGTTCAGCAGGAGGTACAGGAGGAACAACAGGAGGAAGTAATTATGGAGGAGGTGAAAGTTCTGGAGGAACAGTTTCCGGTACTGGGTTGGGTGGAAGCACTGGAGGTACAGGAGGGGGTGAAACTGGAGGAACCACTGGGGGAGAAGAAGGCACAGGAGGAACAACTGGTGGAAGTAGTGGGGGATCTGAAGGTGGTTATGGCGGCAGTACAGGAGGTACGGGAACAGACACAGCAAGTGGCAGTTTGGGCACTGGAGGATCTCCAACCAGTGGCAGCAGTTATGGTAGTGGACAAACGGGAAGTTAGAAACGATTTTTGTGAAAATCATTAAATTGAAAACTTGAATTTAGCCCAAACTGCTGGATATCAACCAGCAGCCACTCAAGTAGCTACTGGAGAAAACAAGCAATGCTGTTCCTGCGGCAATTCAGGTGGCTGTTATCAAACTAGCCCTCAACAGACCGCTGCTGGAGGTAGTGTTGCTGTCCAACCAGTTGCTGCTCAACCAACAGGAACCGCCCAAGCCAGTGGCCAACCCCAAAAAGGTTATGGAGATGTTCGAAGAAAGAAATTCTCTTCAAGGCACAGACAACGCCAGATCTTTGGAAGAGGGACCATGGTAAATCACATGGCGGTAAAGCGAAAATCTTGGATTTTATATGAAGTTTCTTTTTTAGATGCTCAGTCAGTTACAACCAATTCCACCTGTGAAAAGAGAGAAAAATCCTCCAAAACCTTTTACTCTTTTTAATAAATCTCCCGTTGATGCAATGAAATCAAAAGGGCAATCTTTTGAAAATAGAGCAGCAAAATTGAAGAAAATTTAATTCTACATATAGGAATTTCAAGTTAGTAAAAAATTTCGGTAATAATGCAGAATTGGGGAGATGTCAAATTTTCTGATCAGCATTGTTGATTACCTAACATATATACCTAAAATGATTTTTAGAAGAAAAAATAATAATTTATGAGGTGTCTCCCCAATTCTGCATTACTGCAATTTTAAATTTTTTCGACATATAGTTTTGTAAAAACTTTGTTATGTATTAAAATCGTCTAGTTTTTATTTTTATGAATAAAAGGGAAATAAGAATTATTTTTATGAGTTTAAAAATACATAAATCTTTGAAATAAACTAATCGGAATATCACAAAAAGTCGCATTTCGAATTAATTTAGACAAAGGATATCGATGGATTTGAAGGAACTACATAAGATGTGGGTGAAATTGAAAGGAGGTACTTTATTAATATACCGTCCTCCACCTCCATATGAGTCTTTGTTTAATTTGCCTTTCATTTTTTCTGCCTCGAAATGGTCAAATCTCCTTTATAAAGTTGATTTTTGCCGTTCCCATCTATTCTTTCCTTCCTAATAAATTGTGTTTTCCTATAATGTTTGAGGGAAATAAATGAATGACAGTAAAAAAGGAAAATCAATCTGAGACTAAAATAGGGTTGGGGCCGGAATATTAAGGATTAGGTTGGATCAAGATGAATGACTCAAGGGAGATGAATCAAGGATTTTTAAAAATTAAGAGAATATCGAGAGATCTGGGGATTTGGAGGGAACTACTTATATAAATTCTTCACGCTTTAACGGAAGATAACTTTTCAAAAATTAATTTTACCTATAAAATGTAAGTTTAAAATATAAATTTTATATGATCGAAAGAGAAAAATTGAACTTTTAGAATCATTTTAAGTTTTGGAAATTGGATCAGAATTAACCGACAAATACATTTTATTCTAAACCTTTAAAAAAGTTTTTCCTTTTTCCTTATTTTGGGTGTTATTAAAGGGGTTTGTGGATAGAGGTCAACATGGGACAATCCAGTACAGGATTTTATGGGATCCCGTCTGATCTGTGAGGTCTTTTGCTGAATTTCGCATTGATCTGTGAGGCTTAAAAGGGATAGCAGAAGTTTCATAAGTTAAACTCAGGAGGATTGAGAGATATCCGATGATGAGGGATTACAAAGGGATATCATAGATTTGAGTATTAAACTGAGGATGAAGAGATAACAGGGATTTATGGTTTAAGAGTGATATTGTGAATCTTGGGGATTAAGAGTATATCGAGAGATTTGGGCAGGTTTTGCCTTTCGTCTTTTGTTGAATTTCGCCTTTTTTGGATTGATTTTTCCCACTATTAAAAACCTATAAAACAAAGGTGGGCATATACTTTTGGAACACTCAAATTTAGATTTTGATCTTTTTACAATAAAGAAAGACATATGTATATTTCTGAATTTTTTTGTATTTTATTTCTAAATGCCATGGTATTTAATCATAAAAAATTTAAGAAAAATCTATAACGATATCACGTGGATTAAGCTAAAAATATAGGTGGGCATATACTTTTGGAACAGATTGTATAACTTTCAAACCATTTTAGATTATAAAACTTGCCCATCAAAGATAATAAAATTTGACATTAAAATATTTCATTCTTCTTTGTTAGAAAATATATTTGTTTAGCTGATAATTTAAAAAAAACTAAAATTAAATAAAATTCTAAGCCAACAAAATCTTCTCGTATCTCAAATTTTTATATTCAATATACCAACAATTTTGCCAAAAATAAGAGCTGGGGCCAATAACAATAACGGAGACAATCGACAAACGATAGATATATTACAAATTTGTCGTTTATCGTCTATAATATATCGAATGTCGTCTGAATATGTCAGCTGACGATATTATGGAAATTATCGTTTATCAATTGTCATTTGTCATTTAGCGTTTACCTCCAATAAAAATTAAAGGAGACAAACGATATAATAGAAGAATTTCTTCTCTAGTCTTTTTATTCTTCGCGCCTCATGCATTCTTTTCTCAACTTTATAAAGAAATGTAAAGTCGTTTTGCAAGAAAACAAATATTATTTTGTAATAGGAAATCGTGGGTCCTCTATCGAATGGTACCAAAAAATATATCAAATTCGCAATCATTTAATCCCATCAATCCTACGATAACCCCTGAATTCTTAAAAATTATCCACCTCAAATAGGTTGATCTCAAATGCCCCGATATCCCCAAATTCCCTCTATATCTCTCTTAATCCCTGAATATTAAGAGATAGTGGGGATAAAGCGGGATTAAGGCATATCTGTGGATATAAAAGTTAAGGCGATCCGAAATCCATAAACCCTTTGATATTCCCCTTGATCCCAATTAATCCTTTTGATTCGATCTATACTTGAATCACTCCAAATATATCAATATCCCTCCTAATTCACCAATATTCCCCTTAATCCACCGATATCCCCTTAATCCCTCCAATTTTTATACCATTAGATAGAGGAGAATGTTTTACATGCTATAAGTAAAAATCAGAATTTTAGCTTTACTTCCCTAATAGTTATAAAATCTATAAGATGCTTAATCAAAAATTAAAGCCCTATTTGAGAGAATGAGTCCCTATTTCTCTCAAAAATGGATGTACCTTACGCGAGAGCCTCTAGTAAATTTATTTTTAAAGTAAAATTTTTGGAACTTATATCAAAAGATAGAGCACATTCTAATCTATCTAAAAATATTTTATTTGAAATTTTTAGGTTGAATTTGGATTTTAAAAAAAATTTTTAAATTTCAAACGATAAATTTGGGGGACAGGTTTGAGCATCCACTAAATTTGTCGTTCAAAAACCGTAGTTTTTCTCTAGTTACCGTAATAAATTATCGTTTGCAACGACAAACGACTAATTTCGGACGACAAACGACAAATCTCGACGACAGTCGATATAATAGAGACGATAAACGACAAACGATAAAGATATTTATTGTTATTCGAGGTAATCGACAAACGACGTATCCGAACGACAAACGTGAAAAATATATCTATCGTTTGTCGATTGTCTCCGTTATTGTTATTGGCCCCTGGTGGCTCACAAATAGAACTATGGCTTAAAAATAAAAGCTTTGTATTTAATTTTCTAATATTTTTTAGAAGATTTACACTCTGTTTCAATATTTCCACCTATATCTTTAGCTTTATCCACTATTAAAAACCTATAAAACAAAGGTGGGCATATTACTTTTGGAACACTCAATATTTAGATTTTGATCTCTATACAAAAAATAAAAACATATACTTCTGAATTTTTTTGTATTTTGTTTCTAAATGTCATGGTGTTTAATAATGAAAAACTTTAAGAAAAATCTTTAGCGAAATCACATAGATAAGGCTAAAAATATAGGTGGGCATATACTTTTGGAACAGAGTGTATTTGTTTAGCTGATAATTTTTTAGAAAAATTAAAATTAAATACCTTCTATTAAAATAAAATCATTCTTATATATTTCTCATAATTATTTATATTTTTGGTATTATCAGTTTACATCCCTGCATTTTACTTTCTCCCTTTTATAAATACCGATACTTGATAAGGTATTGTAAGGAAGGCCTCGGCAAGCCAGAGGACTTGATCACCCTTTAAGCTTCCCGATAGGATTTAGGTTTCTCTTATATTGAAGTCCACCAAATACCCCAAATGGAATGGCCCAAGCCAGCACGACACATGGACGGCGTGCTGTGTTATTGTATTTATGAAATGCCCAGCTTTGCTTTTCAAAACGTTGGTTTATGTCATGAAATACAGCTTTTGAAATTATCACAATGCCGGTTCTAGAAAGCAGAGAGCGGTACATATCGCTATAGGAAAATCATTTTTTGTGGCTTTTCCGTTACGACGTCAGGCATAGAAAAATTCCCCCAATTTCATTTTTGTCATTAATTACGAACTAATTAAGAATTGTGACAATATTTTTTGGTTATTTACATTCTGTTTTTATTTAGAAAAAATATCTAAATATTTATTTTAAAAATGAAAAGAAACTTCATTAAACAATGCAAAGTTTGTGGATCAAAAGAAAAAGTTTGTTTCCATTATGGAGTTAGTACATGTAGGGCTTGTGGGGCTTTTTTCAGGTAATTTTTTTATAATTTAAAAATTATTTCTCAAAAGGCGTTATCTTGAAAACAAAAAAAAATGTAGATATAGTGAATGTACTTATAAATGTTTGCAAGAATAATTTTCAAATGAGAATAAAAACGAAACAAAGTTGGCAGATTGTAAAAAATGTAGACTTGAAAAATGTTTTTCTGTTGGAATGAAAAAATTGGGTTGGACAAAATATTTAAAAATAATTTTAAATGGACTTTAGATGTTGGATATGTACGTCAAGATATATGCCGGGAAGCAATGGAAGAACAAAGAAATGAAATTAACGTAAATTTATTTTTTAAATGGGAATTGGAAAGGTTACTGTAAAACGTTAATTTTCGATAAGAAATTCTTTTAATTTTTTTGATAAGGCTTAAACGCTCAAACTAGATTAAACGAAATTAAACCGAGTGATATGGTTTAAACGTGTCTGAACAACTCTTTACTTTTTTAAGCCTTCAATTTCCCCAATTGTCGACACAATCATCAAAGACCTAAGCTTAATAAACTCAATTTTACCAATCATTGAAGCCAAAAAACGTATTATGCATGCATTTAATGATTTGGATGATATATTCCTTAAAGGACCGATTTTGTTTGAAGAAATAATTTTATCTAATTTTAATATTTTTCGTCTAACTGACAATTTTTCGGTAAATTTTAATTTAAATTTTAATAAAAACTAATTTTGTTTTAAAGCCAAATCCAAGTCCAATACCTTTTGATGAATTAAAAAGTTGGGAATCTTCAATAAAGAAGGAAGGAATGTTTAATAGTAGAGTTCAAAAATGGTTTTTAGTTGACAGACTTTTGTGTGTTGCTATAGCTAAATCTTTACCTGTTTTTGAAAAATTAACTTTATCTGATCAGGTATTGTTAA